CATCCGTCAGGTGGTCGCTTAGTTGAGAGGGTCGTGATCGAATGCTTCCCAAGAACCACCTGGGTTTCCCCAGTCCCAACCAGAAAGAGATGTTTCCCCGGTCCCAGCGTCCTCTGTAAAGGATCCCAAGCCACATTGGAACAACCATTTGTTTCTGTTTGATTCTGTTTGTTTGCTTTGGTACCCAGGCATGGATACTGGGATCCATCGTGTGTAGTGAGTTCACCAATGGGCGCGGAACCTTGACAGGGTGCAGACATGACTGAAGAACTCCAAGGTGCACACGCCTTGTTTGGCCGCTTTGGGCAACCGCTTTGTGACAGGCAGGACGTTGGATGCCGGGTGCCGCATGCACGTCCGTGACCCTGCACCCATCCTTTGAATCACTTCTTGTCGTAGATGTGGTCGTGTTGGGCCTGGTCACAAGCCCGAACAGAAGCTGATATATACAAGGAGATCCATCTTGAAATTTTGAATTGAGATCCTTTTTGTGGGGTGGATTCTAGACTACCCCCCTCAAATAGCATCTTATAAGCCATAAATTAAACAATGAGCATGCATAATAAGGGCATTTGGAACCGCCAGGCCTTCGCAATGGCAGTACCCAAAACTTGACCAACACGGTGTGAGCGTGCGGTGCCTTAGAAACTCAGTGGACCAGGGACGACAGGAAGACTCCAAGGACACCTGACGTTCTCTGGGTAGGTGGAGGGCCCAACAGTCCGATGGATGTGTTTCACCTAGCTGCTCTGCTGCTCTCGTGCTTAGCTGCTCCCCCCAAACGAAGCCATCAAAGTCTCACACCTTGATGGCACCGTTCAGTTCGACCACGGAGGGCACCGGTCAGGAGGTCAGGAGAAGAACCCAACCGCGACCTACCTTCGATCCGATTCACCGAACAAAAAGGGAGCATGGCTATGCCATGAGGAACCTGGTATGATCTCTACCACCGGAAGAAGGAATTGAGGACGTAGTAGGGATCGGGTATGATATGATCCTGATATTGAGACAGGACATGATATGATCAATATAGGTATGAGGAGAACCATGTCAATGGTATGACACGATATGACCCTGATATTGGGATATGTATTGGGTCTGTCACATTACCTGTAACAGTGAGTAAACACTTATTGCTGTTTTGAACAAGGCCTTTACTAAACATCATCATCCACGGTTACAGGTATTAGGATAGACCCAAGAGATATAGTCATAGTACCCCCGGAAATGTAGGCTCTGGATTCCTGAAGCCCATCTTGGCGTGGTGGGGGGGGGGTTTATGAATCAATTGGAAACACCTGATGGACTTGTTCGGAATCGAGCGTCATGCGAGTGTCACCCAGTCACGCCTATCATCCACCCCTTCGAAAACACCTGATGGGTTACGAAAACACTCCCAAAACCACTGGGTTGGATTCGGACCATTTCGGACCAGGGTCGAAACCATGGGTCAATTCCGAGGGGTCCATGGGAGTACGAAACGCGGCGCGAATGGCTTGGTGTGGCACCGGCTCATTGACGGGTTCATCTAAAGCGTGCGGCAGGTGCCGTGCCGGATTTCTTGGCATCGTGCGGCCATTCCGATCGCACCTCCGTCGTCCGCAGCTGACCAACCTTTAGATGAAGCGAAGCTGAAAGGAGCCTATTCAAATTTAACATAGACGACATCAGCAGAAACTCCATGCAGTCGATTGCTGAGCTTGATGGGGTCTTCTGTCTGCAGCTGGTAAGCAAAGCACGCAGATCTTTTTCTTTTGGGTTCGGGCGAGCATCGCCGAAGATCGGAGCGAGCATCACCGCAACGGCTCAATGGAACATCTCCGTGGATCTCGAAACCGGGTGACCCCGAATTTCACCACGCCCGACTCTTGGCCCCTTTTTCATCCTTTTTCCGCTTCTGCCGGGCATCGTGCATGTGAAGTGAAAGGCATTGAACGTCTCTTCTTTTCAATGTCTCCAGTGAGACCGCACCAACTCACCCACTCCACAAAAACCGCTGACCGGACCGGTTGAGGAGAGGCTCTTGTGCCGACCCGGGGAAAGAGCTGCGCGCCGCAGCGCCATGGCGTCGTCCTCGTCCTCTCGCACCCGACTGTCCAAAGGACGCTCGACCGGGTCGAGCGATGACCGGCCGGTCGAGCGATGTCTGCGCGGGCGGACGAGTCGTTGTTGGCGGTGAGAGACGAGTTGGGTGACTTCTGAACTTTGAGTGTTTCCTTTTCTCACACGTGAATCAGATGTCTTACAGTTGGAAGATGTTGGAAGGGGAAGATAAGGTTCTTTTTCCATGAATTGTGCCAAGGTAAGGTGCTGCGTGGGTTCTCCCCTGATGGTAGTTACGAAGTGGAAGACCTCCTTGGTGCCCAAGACCCTGTCAGTGGTTTCAAGGCTTCAGTGGCGCAGACCCCAAGGCTTCAGGCAGATGGGGCCTGGGTGGGTCCATCTTAGCTACCTGGAGATTGCACAAATCCACTCCTTAAAACCGGATGAGGGAAGGTTCAAGTCCGAGTCTGGTGGACTTGCCGTGCAGCTTGAGGTTCAAGTGCCACGACCCAGCAAACTCAGCAAACCATGTCTTCAACAACACCTGGAACCCCAGGCTAAACCGAGAGGCCCATGCAGCCCACGCGTACCCAGAGGGCTGAGGTGCCCAGAGCTGCTTTGACCAGCTAAGGAGTCCTTAAGGCAAACTACAGGGGGCAAGACCTAAGGACTCCCACCCAGACAAGGAGTCCCAACAAAACGAGCGATTCTCCATTTCAGCTCTCGACCCGGAAGGTGATCCCAACCATTGGCCCTTCACTCACCAGCACCGGAGCCCCTGACACCCTCTGGAGTTGCCCCCCCCACGTGACCCCCGCACGGCGGTTCCGCGCGGACCGTCCGCCCGGCGATGGCGCAGAGCGTCCGCGCCGCGCGGCATGGAGTCGCAGAACTGGGCGTTTCTGCGCCTCGAACGGCTCTGGCGCTCCGTCCGCCGCAGCGCTTTGGGCCCGTTCTGCGGGCCGAAAGGCCTGCTGTGCTCCGAGGCGGGATGAGGTGTAGATGGGGTGGGTTCCTTGACTGCTTCAGCTGGAGGGGGCCCATGGCGTCAGGCCGAGCAGGAGGACTTCGAGACCTTCTTCGAGAGGCGGGGAGGTCGAGAGGGGGACACATGTTCGGAGACAGGCATGGTCCATGGTTCTCAAAGTGTGTGCTGTGGTATACTTGTCTTGGTGTACATTGCCTACCCCAGAGTACCCCACATATGTGGAAGGACTTTTAGGGGCGTGACGTGGATGTGTCCGCAAGTTTGTGTGTCCGGGTGGTGTTTTCTCTTTTTGGGGGGGTTGGGGTCAATCCAATTTTTGGCAAGGAATTGGGCATATGCAAAGAACTCACAAAAACTTTGAATTCCCTGCTTTGATATCGACGCTGGGCATACCAGAAAGATATTATGTCAATCTCCCCTCCAACAGTAGACGCTCCTTCTTGTGCGCTTTGGTGCCCTGAAAAGACTGAAAAGACAGCAGTTTTCAGCTCTTCACATGCAACATTTGGCTGACATATGCTGACGTCATGCAATTTTCTCTTTTCGAAGAATCATGTTCCCAAATCAACCAATCGCTCAAACAAGTATATAAACTTCCTCCAACTTTGGCCAGTGCAGATGTCACTAGCTGGTTCCTCCCCAGAATTATGGAACTTGAAGTAATTGCTGTAGGGCGATCAGCACGGATAGTAAATGTGCGCTCAATATGAAAAAAAGACCGCTTCCACGGCCAGTCGTTCCGGTTTCGAGTTGTGACGATTCTTTCGCACAAACCCCTGACTCCAGGTATTTGTCCTTCCTCCGCACTCAACCACCCGACTATGGGCTCCCACCCTCCTTTGAGTTCGGCGAGCTGGGCACCGACGCCGCGCGCGCGCCCGTGTCCCCCGCGCTGCGGGGGGCGCAGCGGATGGCGGCGGCGCTGCCGCAGGTCTTTGCCGCCGGGTGCCGGAATGGAGAAACCGGAGATAAGGAACTAGTGTTTTTTTCCTATGGCTTTCTAGGTCTACAGAGTCTAGTTTCAGTCTCTGAAGAGGGTTGCAACATTGTTTGTCTAGCGGGTTCCTCTTCTCCTCATTCGAAAGGACATTGGGTGCTGGGAAGGCGCGAAGAAGTGGGCGCACCTTTGGACTTGGTCAGAGGTGAGTAGATGCTCCAAGTTGCAGTTGGCCCTTTCGATGTTCAGGGGTTTTCGATGTTCAGGGTTGAGATGGTGGATTCCACAAGTGTTTGGCTTCTGTTGGGCATCGTTGGACCATTGGATAGACTCCACCTTCCAGGTGGGTGCCTTATCGGAAGGGTGAGAATCCGGTCACCCCTGCGTGGTCGGGTCCGATTCTTAGGTGGAGGAATTCGGACATGGCAAACAAAACAAAACAACATTCAGGACATTGCAATTAGGAAGAAATAGGAATCATGTATTGCTTTTCATTGTTTTCTCCAATGTCATTCTGCCCATGATTTGGATGACCCCGGCTCCCGCACGCTCGCCGCACGCTCGCCGCGCCCGCTGGCCGAGGACCCTCGCCTCCGGCAGAACCTTCAGGTGGTGGTGCCGCCCGCGAGGACCGCGAACGAAGCGCGCGGGCGAGGCTTTTGGGTGTGGAGCACCTTCGGTTTGCAGAGCTATACCAGTGACCATCCTGTCTGGGTGTCCTTGGCTGGACGACCTCATACTACTCAGGGATCTCCAGACAGGACACCCAGACAGGCTGGTCCAGGTAATGGCTATAAATATCAATCATTACACCCAGGAGTTGCAAAGGGGTGCTTAATGGAGGTTGGGGGTGCCCATTATCGACTCACTTAGGGACTAAACAACACCCCTTTGTGACTCCTGGAAATCGTGTCTTTTCGCAGTGACCAACTTCATCCAGATTCCACTTCCGATGTGTTCAATGTCGTAGAACCTACGGTGGGTGTGGATGACGCTCGGGCACGACCACATTCCAGCCAATCTTCACGGTCCATGTCCAGGTTCTTTGGAGTTCACCATTCTGGGCGGGCTCGTTTGTTGGGGCTTCTCATGAAGCAGGCAGCGCAGATTTTGAAGGGAGTTGCTGCTGTAGCAGACTGTAGCATTAGCGGAGCGCCAACGTATTTGATCCCTCACCAAACCACACCTCACGCAGATGCATGTAGATGGCGCATGCAGACCAAGCCAAGGGCAGATAGTTGTGGGCACCACTTGCATACAAATAATTACATGACATCATGTGGCACAGACGTCACAAACGCTTATTTAATCTTATTTAGTTATATGAATGCAGATCCTCTCTGCCTGGGTAGCGCCAACATTGGCAAACAAGGAGCAGTGCAAGTTTCCTCCCTTCTGAAACTTGATCAGAAGTCTTCAGGACGAAGCGAAGTGAACAAATACGGTCCACTTAGTCAACCCAATTCAACCGACCTTGGAGAAAGCGGTGGAGAGGGAGAGCTGAAGAGAGAGTTTTTAGAGAGAGAGAGAGAGAGTTTGAGAGAGAGAGAGAGTTGGAGAGGGAGAGTTGGAGAGAGAGAGAGGGGGAGATAGTGCCACAATAAATGAATAGCATCGATGAGCACATAGACTCTAGACTGTAGTGACTATAGAGCAGATAAACAAGCGAACAACAACATATATAAAATATCGAACGATCTCGCGAAAGAGGCCACCCTCCCAGAACACCACACCGTGTTTACGCGCCAGGACGCTTGACCAGCTGGATGCCACGCTCTTGCAGGGCGTGGTGCAGCACTACGAGGACTTCCGCCAGTGCCTGGGGCGAAGTGGATGGGGACATGGGTCGGACTGAGACCGACGGGATTCTTGACACCATGCGTGGGGCCTTTCAGCCACAAAGCCCAGCAGCAATGGTGGGGGTCGAGCAGGTACAAAGATCATTCAACTTTTTTTCTCTAGGTCTTCTTGTTCACGTTCACGGGTTGTTTCAGAACGGTTGAGTCATTGAGTGATCCGTTTGATGGGCAAATGGCCAAATGACACGCGTTTCTACACATGATTTCTTGGGTCCATGAACGATGTTGTCACAACATGGATGTGAAGTAAATCCAAGGCATCATATTAACAAGTGATCATCACAATATAATTGGACGTTTTAATATGATTGGCATTCACATTAGCATTGTCATATGTGTATATATATATATATATTTGTGATTGGCATATATTACCATGCACATGCGACTCGCAAAGGAAAATGGCCATGCAAAAGTTACGGAAGCTTCGGAGCACCATCGGTCTCTTGGATGAAGAGGGCCTAAGATGCGAGGATCGCGGAGTGGCGGGGATCCAGACTCCCATCGATAGCTCTGTAAAAGTCTCAGGGTGCCTATCCATCAAGAAACTTGGTCTCGACATGTCTCGGCCATGTCCAGCTCAGCATCTTTGGGCCAGGGCGTCTTCGTGAAAAGAAGTAGACGTTCTGTGGGAACTGAAGCGGCCGAACTTTGTATGACATGAATGAGTGTTTGTAATGTTTTGTTTTCACCTTGTTTTCCTGCATGGAAGAAAGGAAGGAACTCTCACCCAAGCCAAGCCAGGATTGGAACCAACTCCAAGCCATTGGGGATCAACCAAGCCAACCGCAAGAAGAAAAACCCAAGAACCAAACAGTTCGAACGCCAGGACCGGAACACTCCTCCCTACGATTTTGACTCCTTTTGATCTGATCCAAATTCACTCCGGCTACACCATAGCAAACAGAAGAGTCATCAAAATGCAAAGACGGATGGAATACTACCGCGCAGGCACGTCAGCCTGACATGACCTGGCACAGCCTAGTGAACTAACATGAGCTAACGCTGCAAGAAGTTTTCCCCACTCTATCCCAACCCGTCCCTGAAAACCGAACCCACCCCACCCCATCACGTCCCAAAGAGACCAAGGCAGCTTACCCGCCAGCGCTGCACGAGCGCAGCTGGTGGAGGCAGTGAAGGAACACCCGGTGACGCTGGTGGTGGGCGACACGGGCTGTGGGAAGTCCACGCAAGTGCCACAGTTCCTCATGGAGGCTCGGGTGGGCCGTGGAGAGAAGTGGTGTAGATCTTGCGTGGAGAGAAGTGGGGTGATTTTTGGGATTTTTGGTGTTCTGGCGGGTGATGTGAGGCAGACCCTTTTTGATCTTAGGGATCTTAGATCCTCAACTGTCCCAACGAATCCTTTGTTGCAGGACACCCCGCCGAGTGTTCTTTTCCAATGCCTTGAAAACGGGCACCACCACCAGGAGGAGGAGCACAGCCTCAACTTCATTCAACTTCAGATTCAACGCAGGCTGTTAGAGTTTGATGAAAGCTCCAAGTTGCCAAAAGAGGTTAAGTGACCTGAGAAAGGACCCGGTCCACCTGGGGTACCCAACCGGGATAGTCAAAAAATATCCATCCATCCATCCATCCATCCATCCATCCATCCATCCATCTCTATCTTTCTAATCTAATCTATCTATCGGGTCCTGCAGAACCTCCGTTGCTTCAAAGGGCCTTTGCCACCCTTCTGTCGCCGCTGGCGCGTGCTTTCTCGTGCTTTCGTCAGGCGGGCTTCCGGCGCGTGCTCGTGACGCAGCCGCGGCGGCTGGCGGCGATGTCCTTGGCCCGGCGCGTGAGCGCTGAACGGATGGATGCGAGGGGAGTGGTGGGGCAACTTGGAGAGATGTGGTGGGGGGTCTATGGAGATTTTCATGTGAATCTCGATGTTTGATGCTATTTTGAAGGGTCCCCAGGGCCCAAAGAGGTTGGACAATCCATTGTCTGGGGTGTGTTGATTCGTCCACACGAGAACCCAGTTGCTCGCCTCACCGGGAGCCTCCGGGAGCCTCGGGCGTCCGCGAGTCCGGGCCTTGGCGACCGTTGGGCGCCAGGCACCAGATCCGTTTCGATTCAAGTCACTCAGAGAGTCTGGGCTGAATTGGAGTCTGAGTGGGGCAGGCTGGACGTGTGGAATGCGGAGAAGATCATGTTGAAGCCTGGCTTCAGTCCAGGTGTAGCGGCGTAGCGCAACAAAGGACCTTATTAACTTATAGGTGCCTGCCACAAAGAAGGATACTGTTTAAACATTGGAATTTCTATGATTTTCTTTCACTTTAGGGTGTAGAACATCTCTGCATTGACATCCCATCTTCCCAGGCGCACTCGGATCCTCTTTGTGACCGAAGGCATTCTCCTACGCCGCCTGGAAAGTGACCCTGAGGCTCCGCTCCGGGATTCGCTGCAGCCACACCGCGGATGGGTGCGGCTAGGTGCGGATGAGTGGTCCCAGCAGATGGGGCTGGCTTTCGGACTGGGATGCCCAGCAGTGGCAGCCTGGAGTCTCCACCATGTTCCGCGTATTCAGCCTGCATGGTTTTGTGTGTGTTTCGTGGTGAGCCCAAGCACGTAGAGGTGCTTAGAGGTGGTCTAGGTGCTCCAAACCCTCGGCCCGGATAAGGATAGCCTCAGAAGTGTCCTGGTGGTGTATAGAAGGAGAGAAGAGGAGAGGAGAGTGGAGAGAAGAGGAGAGGAGAGTGGAGAGTGGAGAGTGGAGAGGAGACAAAATCAAAAGAACTCCCAGAAGTTACAAAGGGGTGCCGAACTTGGAGGAAGTCGGGGTGCACAGAACATCCACTCACTTGGTGACTAAAAGCCACCCCGTGTGACTCCTGGTCCTGACCTGTTCGCAGTCCATGACTTGGTCGACTTCCGCGAGGTGAACGACTTCGAGGTGATCGTTGTGGACGAGGTGCACGAACGACACCTGGTGGTGGATTTCGTGTTGGGCATCCTGCGGGAGGCGTGGTTTTTAAGAAGCACCCGGTCGCCTGGATCATGGGGCCGATGAATTGGGGATCTTGAGGAAGTGGAACCGATTGGAAGAATCATAAGGAATCCTCTACAAACAGGGGGTGGACTTCACTTCCATCTGATGTGTTCTTCAAAGTGTAGGATGTTGATGAATTTTCCCCTCCATTAAGATCGTAAAACACATTTCGATACGGGGAGGTTTCATTCATCAACCGTCTACATGAACGGCGCCTGGGGTCTTTGGGGGTCATTTTTTCGATGACTTGCTTGTTGAGAAATTGGAGGCTCAGGTGAAGCAGAGAATGGTGGTCCTAGAGTTGTGGTATCACAATTCCATCAATTGTGCCTAGAGTTGCACACCAAACTTTTTCCATTTTAATGAGAGTCCCTCTATTGACTCTATTTGCTCTTCTGGGTGCCCGGTTGCAGGTCGTCACGCAACGGCGCCCAAGCTTGAAGTTGGTGCTGATGTCGGCCACCTTGCAGAAGGACGGAGTAGCTGAGTAGGTCGAGCGCGCTCAGCCATATGCCCATGGCTGTGGGTTTTGACCCCAGCGAAAATGAACCGAACATACCAGAACAACCTAAGGAGGTCAACCTACCATGGTGGGCTCCGGGTGCCATGACATAGCCCCATGCGTTTGGAGTGTCTTTCTTCTCCGAGTGCTGTGCCTCCACCGGTGATGCTCCCCGGATGCCGAAGCCGGGTCCGGAACTTGGAACGACCGTTCTCTGTAGATAGCAGCTGCTACATGATACCCACTTCGCATGATATATAAAGCTACTATCTACAGAGTACTATGATATAAAGCTACTATCTACTTACTCTATTTTTAGATACTTAGCATTATATAAGCCTTGCTTTGGGAAACATCCAGAACATGCTGAAATCGCCTATTGGACATGTTTTTCATCGGCTCAACATGCCCCTAGAGGGTGGATCAGCTTAATCACTGGCGCTTTACACCATCACTTGGGTAGATTCATGCAAACCTGCATGATCGTGAATGTCTAGTCTAGATTTACTGCCTGTAGTCAACACAAGAGCCCTCAGTAACTTAGTCGCTTCTTGTTCCTAGCCGCTCGTCCGCGGCAGAAGATCGGATGCTTCCAGGTGGCCTCCAATAGCAAGGTTTTTGGTCGCGTGCTTTCAACCGCTCCATGCTTGGACTCATTTGGGCTCTGCCTCAGCCACTGGCCATTCGACGAATCGCGCGCCCTGGATCGCGGGCCTCCCGGGCCCTACTTCACGCAGGAGCTCTTTGTGAAGTTCTTCGATCTGCCGCCCAGCGCCGTGCTTGAGATTCCCGGCCGGATGTTTCCAGTGGAGATCGAGCACATCCCTCAGAAGGAAGGGATGAGGGTCCCTCGATCCTGAGTGGGATGGGGAAGAGGCTCAGAAACACTGAGCCCTGCATCTCCATTTTCGGCAATTCGTCATGTGGTCTGCTACTGAAGGTTTTTCAGGGCACCTTGCTAGCAAGACATCGGATGCAGCTTGGTGGCCAGGAGGAGCCCTTGACGCTCCGGACGGACGTGGTGAAGCGCAGCCAGCGGAAGCCCTTTGACTGCGAGCCCTTCCTGGAGGCAGGAGAAGCATCCGTTTGGATCGGCGTGATTGGATCATCAGGTTTCATCACTTTTGAGGAGAAACCTCCCAGAAGAACCTCATAGGACCTCCAAAAAGGCTGGGGTCACTGCTCGCACCACGTGTCTTTCTCGCTTTGCTGCCGCTGCTGACAGCTTCAGGTGCTCCGGCGCTTGGAAGGTGTGCTGAAAGAGGATGAGCCCGGAGCTCGGGGACTGCGCTCGGGACCCGTCGAGTGGCACTGACTTCGCGATGAAGGCGATTGGGCGATTCAAGGATGGTTTAATGGATAGGTCCACCGGTACAGTGAGTTCGATCCAGGCGGAAGGATGCGGGAAGTCACAATCACTTCCATTCATCCACCTAGGCTAATTAGAGAGGTGGTTCACAGCCTCTTTACAAGCCGGTCAGGTCCATTCAGGGCCTAGGTATGTCCTTTTTCAGGTCACTTCAACCTCTCTTGGTCGCTGAGGGTCCTTCAGGTCTCTGTCAAAGGGTCGAAGTCGGTCGCTACGTCCAAGCCCTCCAGGCGCGGAGACGTGCTGATCTTCGTGCCGGGGGCTTACGAGCCACTGGGGTTCACAAGCAGCGAAGGTAAGAGCTTGGAACCCACACCCTTGGGTGGAGCAGAGAAGTTTGGGGCACCCACCCAAAATATTGAGTTGGAGGTCCCCACTTTCGCGAAGGGGGTTGAGCGGGGGTCGAAATTTTCACGACGTGGCGTGATTTTTCATGAAATCACCGGAAGGGTTGGGCAGGAATCTCAGACCAGGGCAGGTTCCCAAAGAAAGGTGGGAGAGGTTGAGTTCACCCTCGAGCAGCTCATGGCAGTCTGCTGTGGAACGAGGCAGGGGGTTGCAGGATGTGGCAGCTAGCAGGTTCGATGTTATTCCTATCTATCCGGCCCGGTTGCATTGTTCGACTATGGCATATATGATAGACCTTAAGCATGCTACAAGAGAGATGGATCAATGATACCAATCGCTTGGGACTTGAGCAGCTTCAAGAAGGTCCACCACAAAGCACGCAAGGTACTTGGGGAGGTCAAGAAACCCGGACTTCATCACCACCCCGTCAAACGCCTGACTCCACCGACCCCCCAACTTCGTAGCAGCTGCCACCGCCTTCCTGTCGCTCCCAGGATCGAGGCACTCGTGGGCGCGATCGCCGAGCGGGCGCAGAAGAGCCGCAAGTGGCTCGCGTTGCCGCTGCACTCGCAGATGCCGGTGGAGCAGCAGGACCGGTGTATCGTAGTGTTGAGGTGGGATCTCAGGTTCAGCCAGTCCCGGAACCCACATGTATGGCTCACTGCTAGGCGGCCTGTAGACTCAGATGCCCCTGAGACGGAGTCCATCTTGCCTCGTCTTCTCGGTCTCAGGACAAGGTCTTTGGCATCGCCCCACAGGGAGTCCACAAGGCTCGTTTTTCACCGGTCGCTCCGTCCTTGTCGACTCGTTGATGGACGAATCCATCTGACATCGTTGCGGTCCATCGTCTCTTCGACTGCCGGGAGGCCGCAAGTGGCCGCCAAAGAAGTCAAAAGGACAGACGCTTTGCCCCTCTCCTTGTAATGCAAAGTATGGTGAGCACACTGTTCCAACGGCTTGAACCTCCTCACGGGCATTGTCAACACACTCCCATGGGGCCCACCCCACCCTTCCTCCTTCCGGTGTTCTCGCCGTAAGAGCGGACGCCGGGGTCTCACCGCGAAGACTCGTGTCCTCGCGGCGGCAGGTCGTGGTGGCGACCAACATTGCTGAGACCTCGGTGACGATCGACGGCATTCGCTTCGTGGCTCCTCGGTGGGCCTTCGCTTCGACCGGGACGGTCTCAGTCTGTCTCCCGGTACACCGCCGTGGTTCCCGTTTGGCTTCGCCCGCTGCGGGGCAGCACGCGGGGCTGGCGGTTTTGGGATGTTTTGGGGAGTAGGTGAAAGGAGAGGTGTTTTCCTACTAAAATTTCAGGTGATCAGCTAAATAGCAGCCTTTGCTTTAGCAACTGGCTGGGCAGGGTGTGTGTGATGGCGTGTGGGCGGTTGCACCACGTTTCAACACCACATGGAGTCGGTGGCAGATGGTGACACCCCTGCACGATGGCCCGAATCTTGCATCACCCGACCCACTTACTACATCGATTTTCTATGATTTTCTGGACGCTGTACCGTGCTGGGAAGAACCAACCTTTGCACCATTGTGCACGAGCTAAGGTGATCTGGGGATTTGTGTGACAGACACCTCGCTGCAGTTCTCCTTTAACCTCCACTCACCTACAAAGACCTCACCCAAAAGGGCCCACATCGCGATTCGGATGGATGGCCGATGTTCTCTACTTCACCGCCGGCCGCCTTCTAGGTGGACAGCGGCCGCATGCGCGGCCTCGACGTCGACGCCGCCTCCGCGGTGCGCCACCTCTCCGAGCGCTGGGTCTCCCGCGCCGGCGCCGCGCAGCGCGCCGGGCGCGCGGGGCGCACGGGGCCGGGGCGCTGCTTCCGGCTCTACTCGGAGAGGCGCTGCTGCCGAATTCGACCAGCACGTCTTACTCTCAAATGGGGGGGGGCGACGTTGGAGGGGGTAAGAGGAGGTCACAGGACTTGGTAGAATATCATGGAAGAACCAATGAGTCCAGTTCGCCAAGCTTGAATGAGCATTTAGAAGCAGCGTGAAGTATGAAGCAGCCGTTTTTCTTCGTGCCTTTGGCACCTTGGGCCCCGAGCTCAACTTAAGCTCCAGCAACTTATGCCTCTCGAGCTCTGTTCCTCCTCTTCTCACACCTTCTGCGTCTTCGCTGCGTGAGGCTCTTCGGGCAAATGGACCCCTTCGCTCCGCCGGAGGTGCAGCGAGCGGCGCTGGAGGGTCCATTGCTGCAGGTCTTGGCGCTGGGGATTCCGCTGCAGAGGTGGGGGAGCGGAAAAAAAGCGGAGAGGAGCGGGGGGGATTCGGTGGAGGCTTCCCATGCCGCATGTATAATGGAAGAAGCATGTTAGGGCTGTTAGGGAGACTCCCTTGGAGAACGTGCGTGTTTTTTGAGGTGTGGGGAGACGTGAGGAAGTGCTGTGAGGCCGTGGACAGCTGGGGACACGTGGGACGATGTCATGGGTGAAGAGTGAAGAGGGTGAAGATCGCTGAAGATCACCTAATTACAGGACTCCAGGACCATCTAGGACCTAGGACGCAGAATTGCGAAATTTGATGATATCATATGATATCTGATTTTCTTGTCTCTCCACATGGTCAGGAGTCAGGAGGTGATTTATAGACTTGAATGGACATTTTGGGACACCTGGACCGGCTATCGTGATCGAATTTGGGCTGCAAGTTCCCGGGGCCTTCTGGAGCAAGGAGCACTTATGCTGGTACTAGTAGTCCCGGATATATGGATCAGATATATATCGATGTTTATTAGATGGGGTTCCTTGTTGGTCCACCACTTGGGGTAGATGACTCTGATGGTTTCGTGCCAACCATGAAGGTTCTAGGCCCATTGGTCCGGCCCGGTGGTCCACGAGGTTCCGCTTGCCTGACCCCCCCCCGGTCGGAGACCGTGGCTGCCGCGCTGCAGCGGCTCCTCTTGATGCGCGCGGTGGTGTCGCTGGAGCGTGCGCGGGGGGGGTCGAGGTCAGGGGGCCACTGGGGGGAATGCTGAAGGAAGAAAGTCTCAGAACCTTAAAAACTCAGTGGATCAAATTAATATAGAACCTTTTGGGGGGCTTGGTTTTTTCATGTTTTTTCTTCTTACATAATTAGATATATAGTCATACTATAGACGATAGGATCCAACAGGTGGTAAAAGGTTAACCCTTATGCTTATTTTCTAGAAAAGCTGAGGGGTCAGGAACCTGGAATAGGGAGGTGTCCAGACTCTTCCAGACTGCCGAGTTCTTTCCAGTTGGTGGTAGACGGAAGCATCCCAGGTAGTGGAGATCTTGAGAGCCCCGAACTTCGCCGCTCTCATGCAGGACTGGCGCAGTCTCGAGCTGCCCGCCCCGCCCCCTCCGAGACGAACGAGGGTCCGCTGGTGGTGGAGGGCGAGGTGCCGGCGACATGGAGTGCTTCCTTTGGAACACGGAGCGCCTTGAAGATGATGGGATGGGACGGGATTGAGACCCTGGAAGTCTTGGACATCCTTTGGCGAGTTGGAGGGTTTGATATGATATGATATGATTTGTTGATCCCTGCCATGGTGACTTCATACGGTATGCATCAGTGCTCGTGACTCGTGTTTACAAGGCATTTTTGTTCATGAGGCCTCACAGAAAGATGCTGCCAGGCCATGAACTCGAGCCCCCCCACTACCACCCACCACCAACCAGCCACCCCATGCTTTCCAGACCACCTAGGCTCCGAGATCTCTCTCCTGCAGACCTTGGGCCTCCGGGCTTCAGAAGAAACATGTTGGCTTACACTCCCGGTTCTTAACATGGAAGTGGAGAATGATCCCTTGGAAGACAATTTTCCACTACAAACAGGTGGTTTCGAGGGAGAGTACGTACACTCGCGCTCCAAATGCGCGGTGTAGCCTTTGGGAGACACGGGTGGCCTTCTGCCTGGTGCTTCAAAGCGACCCTTTGAGATCACCAATTGAGGTCACTTGAGGACCCTCCTTAATGGTGACTTTGAAGAAGCTGGTGCGTGTCTTGCAGGATTTTCTCTTTCTCGCCGAGTCGGGGAGACTTGAGGAAGACGTTGGATATGGGCTCACAAAT